GATCTTATATATATATATATATATATATATATATGTGTGTATTACAGACAAAAAAATATATAAAGGATTAAAATGAAAAATATTACCGGAACCAAAACATAACTAAGCCAGTAAAAATTATCAATACAACTAAAAACAAGAAACAATGGGTAAATAAACCAAAATTAGGACCAACACTGATTTCAAAAAGGTATTGGTCATTACACTCGGTTCATGCAATAGAAAGCAAATAATGAAATGCCCCGTATTTCAAATATAAGGGCTTTAGAAGAGAGGGAAAATCGAAGAAAAAAAGACAAGACTGAGTGTATTAATTTTAGTTTTATAACTTTTCTTTCGAAACCACGTTATCCAGTTAAAGAGATCCACAACCTAACCGCACTCGACAATTCAGCATTGGCATGAATTTTTAACAACACCCAGGAAGAACAAAGGAATGCTTGCAGCTTCTTTTAGTATTCCATTTTAAAAGAAGACTTCACACTGAAGTCCTCTTAAATGTAACAATTCTCTTTCCCGACAACAGATTTAGCCTGTCGGGTTGGATTTCTTAAACGACGAAATCCAGGTGCCTCACTAATGGATGTCGCCAATTCATTTGACTGACCAGAATTACTCTCTGTCACCTTGTCCAACCCTGCTGGATTATTTTCCCTACTTTCAATTTTGTATGTTTCGGTACTGCTGCTATTTTCTTCAGACAAAGATACTGAATCCTTGGTAATTACCTGAATTACTGGTTTCCGCGCTTTCTTTTTCTTGCCTTGCTTTTGATCATCCAATTTGCCCTGCAATCCAATTGTCCCTTGGATTAGTAAGATAGTTGGAAAACTGTTACACATAACAGAATTATGTAGGAAAATCTGAGACAGGTCATTAAATTAGATACTAAATGCAATTATGCAGCAAGGTCTTTAGAGTAGAATACCATTGAGTTCTGAATGTCACATAATGGCTTCTTTTTGGGCACCGGGTTGTCCTTGCAACTAGCAGGTTTCTCAACAAGTGCACTATGGAGTAGTTTAGCACATTCAGAAGCGATCACACTTCCATCTTTATCAACAGCCGAAACCTCCACAGTACATTCTGTATAATCTGATTTTAGTGGTTCATTTCCTGTTAACTGGTTTAGTTCCCTATTTGTGCACTTAAAACGTGTGCAGCCACACGATGCTCCACAACTCCCTCCAGTGGATCGGCATTTGCATTTGTTAGTCTTGCACAGGGACTTTTTACTGCATGAGCAGCATAGCCCTTCAGCTGTTCTCTCCCCCTTAACACTATTTTCACTTGCACTGCTCATCTCGGGTGTATCCATTTTTATCTTATCATTACTCTCTTCAGAGAGAAGAGACAGACTCAGCCCCCCCTAATTAATTAGAAGATGACAAAGTGTAAGAAATTAACAATGTATTTCATATTTTTTAAAGAACATTTGTCCATACTAAATTTTGTTCAAGTTTGAATCATGTTACTCCTATACAGTTATAATTTGATGTCAATGGCCCAAAACCTGCTTCTTATCCTTGAAATCAAGCTTCTCCTTCTGCGATTGTAATTCTCTAAGTAGACAACCAAGGCTGTTCATTTGCTCCTTTAAATCTTGGATTTCAGAATCTTTCTCTAGGCTCTCACACTCTTCATCCTGTGACTGAGACCTTGAAGTAACAAATAAAAGAGTTGAAACAAAATATTAAATTAGAAAGTGGCCTATATGGTACTGCAAGCTGGTAGAGTTCAAATATTCAACATTGCAAAAGGAGATCGACTAATCGTGTATGAGTTTTCACCCTATTTTTTCCTGCCTGTGTATCTCAATTTCTTCCTTCAGCTGTGCAATCTCTCCAGCCATCCTGAGTATGCCAAATTGTTAGAATTGGAGCCCTTAATATGTATTTTCCAAAATACATACCAACAAGAATAATCTTGAAGACTGTCATATTGTATCACATGACCAAATTATACGGTTTTCTTAACATCAGACAAAATTTTTATATTTTGAATGCTCTAAAAACGAAAGTTATGCAGTTCGGTACTGTCCATGAAGAAGGTTGTTTTAGAAATCATATAATCAGAAAAGTTCTAAGGCTGCTTTATTAAGATGACTGGCTCAGAGAAATAGGGAGGAACCAGCAATGAATTAGGAACATTTATTGATCAATGTTCCTCCTGCAACCTGAAATAACAAGCATTCCATGCTGGAAAAGTGAACTGTATGAATACAATGTTGATCCCTCACCTGGGTTTTGTGTTAATACTCAAGGTCCATCAACTTCAATTTAAAATTTTCAATTGGATAAAAAATCAAACAATACAATAAATGACATCCCAATTAAATAGAAATATAGAGCCACATAGTTAAATAGAAGATTAAAAAATGACATCTCCAACTAAGTCTGTTTTTTTGTGCCCTGTGTACAAAAACGGCAATAAATTTTAAATCTACTATCTTAGGCACACTATCCAAAAACTCCACCACTAGGTTGATCCAAGTGGTTCCTCCAACCGAGTTGCTGAGACTCTAATACTAGATGTTCTTGACATTTCTAACCAAAATATATATGCTAACATTAGTGTCAAAAGATCAATATTTGGGCTTGTAAAGTCTGACACACTTTTGCTAACCTTCAAACAGTTCAATAACTTTTTTCACTGTACAATTTCTGAAAGCTACTGTTGCCCACATTTGTTAAGTGTCTCAAAGAAAAGGTTCCTACCATAGCATGAATTATAGTAACAAATACATTTCCACATTAGAAGAAACATACATATGAATTCATAACATTACTAATAGCTTCCGTACACTATTTAGTGATCAATATTGTGCCGGATTGAAAATACATTTCATCCTTGCTAAATCCAAAGATGAATTACAAGAGAAAAGTGAATAAAATATGAAATGAACAATAGAGTTGAACATTTACAAGACCTATGAAAAAGGGGCCATAAACATAAGCCAATGAAGAGAAGATAGGAGTGACATCCGACTTACTTGTCCATTTTGGATTCATATTGAGAACATAACTTGTGTAGCTGAGTTGTGACTTCAAGTTCTCGCTCAGCATCCTGCACCAGCCACATTGTAGTTACGTTTTAGTAAATTAGGCCAATATTAAGTTAGCTCACAGCTACAAAGCAGTAATCGAACCCATTCAACATGCATTACGAATGGAAGCAACATCTGATTAAGTTCAAACAATAAAAAATAACATTCTGCACTAGACCATAAACAGTGCAAATTTAGAGCATCAAATCTATTCTATGAAAACGAAGGACATAAAGAATGGACAAAATATCATTATTGGATACAATCTACAACACAAGCCACAGACTTTAACAATGGATCAAATGAAAATGAAGACATTGTAATTTGTAATAAATGATCTATTCGCAAGATTCAATCTGAGACATTGTAATAAATGATCTATTCGCAAGATTCATCCTGAGGAAATAAGTAGGAGGTAAAAAGTGTCATATACCATTCAGTCATATACACATATCTTAGAAAAGGACCCACGAACAAGTTTCAGGAAAACTAATAAAGTGCCTGTTGTAAGGATCTATCTATAAGCCAGATTCAGCCAAAGTGGTAAGGAAATAAGTAGGAGGTAAACGATGTCATGGCACAACTCACAAGCAATATGGCACTCAGTCAAATACAGATATCCTAGAAACGGACCCATGAACAAGTTTCAGAAAAACTAGTAAAGTGCCTGTCATATTTAAATACACCAAATTCTAAAACATTTAATCTATGAGTAATCAGCATTTTTCAACTGATTTAAAATTACCTGAATTAATTGAGCATTTCTACTTCTAGCACCTGCATGAGAAGCAACAAAAACACGAAGGCATTAAATGTAGTGGTGGCCAACACAGATAAAATAAAGACTCAAACAAAGCAGGCTTTCGGGTCTTCTAACCAGTTGATTTATGTGTTATAGCTTTTCGAGCAATTATCATGTCTTTTAGACGTTTAGTAGCAGAAGAAGCTTCCTCTGTCTTCCGCTGTAATACCTGATGCAAAGAAATGGAGAGAGTGGTTACTGTAAGGAAAACAGTTGGCAGATAGGAATAACGTCCAAGAGAAATAAAAGAACGAAAAAAAACGTTGAGGAAGATACAATGAACCAACCATTTTAAGCGTCTCATTTGAAGCCAGCAAACTTTGCGTCTTGATTTCTTTCCTCGTTCCCTCTTTCTTAAGCTAACGATACATGACCAAATATTCCATAAGATAAAAAGCTAACCAGTACAAAATACAATAGCTAGATCTGTTGACAACGATTGCTAAGTTTACCAAATATATACCTCATCAGCCTTCCTCTTATAAAAACAATTTTTTCATCAATGAAAATCATAAATCATTCAAAATCCTGGGCGTAAGAGAATGTAACTGAGTAAATACCTGAAGAACCTCTTTTTCAAGTAGGGCCTTGCATAATCTGAATTGCACAGACTTCAACTTCATCATACATTGCAGTTGAACCTATATGTAAACACAAAGGTTGATTTGATAGCCAAAGCAAAATCGGGTAACAACCAGAGCAGCACTTAAAAAAGAAAAAAAAATCCATCCACATAAGAATAAAAACCTTTTGAGCCTTCAAACTTTGAATCTCAAATTGCAACTGCCTAGTCGATTCATCGACCTTTTTCCTTTGAATCGAAAACTGGGACCGAGTACCCAGTTTTGTCTTCAATTCAGTAACCTGGAACAGCATGACATTGAAACAAATCACGGACTCACCACAAACAATTTCTTTCTACTAATGACACAAACTAACATTTACCTGATCCTCAAGCAAGTTCAGCTTCTGAAGATACTCTTTCTTAAGCTTTTCAACCCCATTCTTAGAACCCGATGAATCACCCCCCTGTTGTTGCCTTAGTTCAGCAATCTCCATCTGCAAATCACACAGCACCATAAGTAAGCAACAACTACAGCAGTCTGAAGTAACACCGATTCATCAAAAAATTTCTCACATCAAAACTATTAAAACAATAACTTAAAATTAGGGAAATGCTCTCCATTCTCCCGACAGACGATTCCATTTCAATTTAAAATTTCAGAACCCTTCAGTACCGAATCAAAGAAACTTATTCTGATATAAAACGCTACCAAACCAAATGCAGGCAAACACTGATTTTAAACTTCTTATAATAAAATCAGATCATATAACGAGCAATTTGACGAAATTGAAAAAGTGACCTGATAGGCTTTGTTTTTGCGCTCGAGCTCGCGAATCCTCTCCTCGTACACTTGCTTCTCGTTCGGGTCCGAAGCTGAGGCATGGACGGGGCTGGATTGCTTGGATCGGCGATTGGTCTTCGTCATGGTTCTCTTTCGAATCGAAGTAATCGCCGAAGAGAAAAATGAAGAGCGAAATCGAAGTAATGAATGGATGATCCAAATGATACAGCGCTTCGCTGCGACTATATAACGTTACTGAGTTAACCGGAGTAACCAATCGTGGTGTGCCACGTAAGCAACGCAATTGAAGCCGTGCGGAGGGAAACCTGCTCGATTCAAATTTTCTCTGTCTGAGACCCAAATGTGTTTGTATTTTGTGTATTTGCAGTATATTCTTTGGCATTATTTCCCTTAACACCAATTTCTTTTTTGTTTAAGTACAATATATTTTCAAAAAACAATTCCGGAAAAGGAAAATTACTTTTTATTTTAATATATTAAATACTTAATTATTTCTGTCAAAATTTGAATATCTTGTCTTGGTATAGTATATTTTAGAGTTTATTTTTTTAATTGTTTTCGAAAAAGTAAAATGCTTTTTAAAATAAATATGTTGAAACATTTTGATTTTACATCAGTTTTTATTAATATTTTATATTTTAAATGAAATATTTCATTATTTTGCAATTTAATAATAGTTATATATATATATATATATATATAT